AAGACTGTCGTGAATTGGTTTGTAGTCTGTCTAAAGTGTATTAGACATAGCAAAAGTTTGCTACCACGTTCATGAGTGCTTATGAATAAGATTTGAGCATTGGATTAAACCCACGCTTACTTGTATCACTTCATGGAATTTATCACGAGTGATCGTAAGACGATAATATCATATAATCTTTAAACCTAGATATATGGTTTATTGTTTGCGAGTTGGTTGTGCATTGATAATGCGTAAACGCATCATTAACTTGATGTTATAAAATGCATTGTTGTGCATAATTTGATGAGTGAATAGTAAATGCATATAAGTCGAAGTTTATCTGTTCCTTTTATCCTAAGAGGATAAAAGCGATATTTAGGCCCCTCGATGATTTGGTTTGACTTATGTGGCGGGCCCGGTCAGGACTGAATTGATGTGTTCAATTAAGTTCTATGTCAGACAAATCAGAGATCGAGAAACAAACTGTTGGACAATAAGTATGACCATGTTCCATGTGATTGTCCACACGATATCTTGAGAACAGAGGATTATACGATCCCTTATCTAAACGACGAGTCAGAGTTCGACAACGGCTTTTGAGAGCTACGATTGCTAATCGGATTTTGAAGTTATACTTGCATCTATAGTTATTAGACTTATCCAAGTGGGAGACTGTTGGATTAGTGTCTAAGTCCATAACTATATTTGGTATGTACTTGACCCGGTTGTAGCATGGTCCTTTTGGGTTGCCTTCACCAGAGCAACTTGACTGGATGATTAGTGGAGAAATAGGATATTATGGTTTATTAATATATTATAAGAATAATATATTAAAAGAGAAATCATATTGATTAATTAATATTGGTCAAGAATTAATTAGGAAATTACTTTTGTGATAAAAAAATATTAATTAAACTTAGGGGACTGGAATTATAATTATAAGATAATTGGATTTTGGATTGTGGATCATATGGATAAAGGGGTGGACGAAATTAGGGTGGAAGCCCACCTTGAAATTGTCCAAGGCCTTATTCCAGAAGGTTCTGATTGGACTGCTTAAGGCCTAAGCTATCCAATTAGGGTTTTTACTGAAACCCTAGCAGCCCCACTATATGAGGACCCCTAAGGCTTCAGAAATCGGCACCCAGAAACTCTAAGAAGTCTTAGAGCCGATTTTGAGCCTCTCATCCCCTCTCTCCAAGATCATTCAACTTGCTTTGGTGTTTGTGATCCATTAGAGGCATCGCATTTGAGGTGCTAGGTTCTCATAAGCTGAAGATCTTCAAGCAACAATCAAGGTAACATTCTTATTGGTTATTTATGTTATTTTTAAGTTTTGTTGTATGCTAGATTAGGGTTTGTAAGCCTTGGATAATTTGCATGTACAATAGAGAAACCTAGATCCAAGGCTTTAGGTTTTTGCATGTGCACCATAGGATTGATGATTTGCTCAAAATCCATCACTTCATTTTGATTGATCGATGAACATGATCTTTGCAAAAATTCCTTATTAGAATAATATTATACAATCTCCCATATGCTTATATTGGTCCGAGAAATAGACAACCATAAAGTTGCGGGGTATATACATGGCACGAAGCTCTCGTTCTTGAGACGGAGGAGGGCACAACCGTGCACACCTATTTGGATGTCTTGTGGTGATGACCTAAAGCAACGATCGTGGTCTTATGTGGTATATACCACGAGAGACCACAACCAATTGACTCTCTTTTCTATGTTTCTCTGTCTTCTTCTTTCCTCTCTGTTCCTCTCTCTTTTTTGTTGTAGGTTGCATGCCCCCATATCCTATGGCCTAATACTCATATGATAGCTAGGACTTGATACATGTTGAATTTAAATAATGATAAAAAAACACAACTTTCTATACTTATATTATGGTTCAAGAAAGAGATGCTACAATGCCAATTTGATAGGACATGCACTTTTTTTTTTTATTAAAATGATGTTAAAACAGAACACAACGTTGGCCATTTTTTGGGATCTCTCCCAAAAACTCTAGAAAACTAATAGTGGTCTTGAATTATTATTATTTACTCTTTTTTTGGGAGAATTTCATATATGCCCCTCTTAAACTTCAAAATATCATATTTGCCCAGCTTAATTTCTCAATATCATATTTACCCTTCATAAACCTTCAAAATATTATATTTGCCCATATCCTTTTTTATAATGTTTTTAATATTTTATAATCATTTTTTATACCTTAGAATTATTATAATAATTAAAAGTTTTAACCATATTATCCTTACGTCTAAGATAATGGAATGCGAACTTCTAAATTGTTGGAATGTCGCCCTCTTGACAACCAAAAAGATTCATCTTCAACCCTCTCTATGGAATGTATATTTTGATTGTTTAGTTTTTGTTGTTGGTTGATTATTATCATGTTGTATATGGAGGATATTTTAGATATTACCATTGATATTTTGATGTTTAAAAATTACATATACAATATTTTGATATTTAAGGACATATAAGATATTTTGATGTTTTTAAAAATGACATATATGACATTTTGAAATTTTATGAAGGGTAAATATGATATTTAGAAATTTTATGAATGATAAATATGATATTTAGAAATTAAGTTGGGTAATATGATATTTTGATGTTTAAGAATGGCATATATGAGATTCTCCCTTTTTTTTTGCATCTCCGTGTTAATTTAACTATTTCCTATAGGGAATAATCCCTTATTATCAAAATCTGAATATTATATTGAAGAGAGGCCCACACAAGTCTATCTCCGTGCTAATTTAACTATTTCCTATAGACAAAACTGCACAAATGGTCCATGTGGTTAGCTAAAAATTGTCACTTTGGTCCAAAAAGGTTTGGACTAGCACCAGAGGTCCAAATTTTTCATTTTGTTGCGAGTTTGGTCCAGTTTTCTATAAACTTTTTCATAATGACTATTTTGCCCTTATTTTTTCCTTTTTCGGTTTTTTTATTATTTAAATACTTTTTTTGATTAAAAGAAAAAATAAAAAAAATTTGCATTTTCTATTTTATTTTTATATTTTTTTATAACAAAATAAAAAAAATAAAAATGAAATCTCTCTCTCTCTCTCTCTCTCTCTCTCTCTCCCTCCCTCCCTCCCTCCCTCTCTCTCTCTCTTTCTTATTTCCAACACCACACAACCCTCCAACCTGCTGCCTTACCTCTTCCCTCTTCGCCTCCGATGACCACTGCCGACATAAGCAAAAAAGAAGCAGTCACTAGGCTGTCGGGCAGCCTCCTGCCACCGTAGAGCTGCTCTTGGTCACCACCATCGACCACCTATGTTATGCTGTTGCTGCTACTACGTAAGTCCCCATTGCCATTTTTTTGTGTGAATCGCAAAGGGCCAAACCGAGGAATCAAATGACCCGTCATTTTTTTTCTTTCATCATTTTCACCGGAGAGGATGTTCAGTGGCGATGATAACGAAGAAGGGCATGTTGCAGGTACGCTATCATTGTTGATCCAATTGAGGGTTTTCGAGCCCTAATCACACCTAAATCAAAGTTTTCGGGACAAGCTTCAATATCTGGTAAAATCACACTGCAAAGAGGGGGTAATTCGAACCCTAGAATGTAGAATGCTTTAATGGAGAAAGATGGAGGGCGCATTGCTTCTATCTGTTTGTTGAACATAGTCCTAAATCCTGAAGATTCTTGCAGTAGGAGTGGAATTGGAGAAAATCAAAAGAACAGAAGCTGGAGATGGTGGCTGTGACTGGTGATGGCGGAGTGGGTGACGAAGGCAGGAGCTGCAACGATAGCTTGATGTGTGGTTTTTTCTTGTGTCCGACCGTTTACGACGAGGGGGAAGGCATCAGATCAAGACAAGCTTCATTTAATAGAAGAAGAGGGAAAATGGGGGTGGTGACGGAGTTGTAGTGGTTGCACGGTGGCCACACAGTCGGTGGTTTTTAGTGGAGGGTGATGGCAGGTGAATGCTGGAACGGAGGCAACAGGTGGAAGGCAGCAGCGACGTTGGGGTGTTTGATGGCAATGGGTCATGACAGGGGGGGGGGGAGAGAGAGAGAGAGAGAGAGATTCTTTTTTATTTTTCTTTTAATCATAAAAAACATTTAAATAAATAAAAAATGAAAAAAGAAAGTACCAAAGGTAAATCCGTCATTTTAAATATTTCTAAATCAAATTGGACCAAAATCGCAACAAAATGAAAACGTTGGACCTGTGGTGCAAGTCAAAACTTTTTTGGACCAAAGTGACAATTTTGAGCAAACCACAGGGATCATTTGTATAGTTTAGTCTTTCCTATATATAGGGAATAATCCTTTATTATCAAAATCTGAATATTATATTGAAGAGAGGCCCACACAAGTCTAAGTGATGGTCCACATAAAATCTGAAGGCAATTACATTTGTTACAAATCTTGAAGATTTTGAGATATAAAGGTTATATCCACTTGTATATTGAGATTGGTTTGCTGAAAACCTAAAGTAAGAACGGTCTTTACAAAAAAAAAATTCTATTTTCACATTCAAAAACAAAATAAAGTCCGAGGGAAAACTTTAAGTCTTTAAGAACCATGTAATTTATAACAATGAACCAAAATAGCAAGCATACAATTATAAACATTCAAAAATTAATGTGTTGTTAGTTACTATCTTCATGACCGAAATGGAAACAAGTAGGAAGCAAGCACAGCTTAAAAAGAAGAAGGCATTAGACACGACAAAAACCGAATCAACATGTAAACGTTCACCAGCTAATTAACATTACTTTCAGGCACCAGAAACGACTTGGAAACTCCCCATATATACCATCAAAAAGTTGAAACCTAAAAATGGAGCCCTCGACCATATTGTGGTTGCGTGTTAGTGTTATGCATGTTAGACATAAAATCATTTGTTTATGCCCTAAAAATCTCGTACACTGTGCAAATTAAAGATAATGTACGGGTGATGCTCAGGAAAACGAGTACATATATATACGAACAGATTTTCAGATCGAAGTAACATACATACAAGACGATGAAAGGCACCTGTTAGCAGTATAGCCGCTGCTGAATTCATACAGCTTGCCGCGGGCGGAGAATATGATGACGGCGACATCGACGTCGCAGAGCACGGAAAGCTGCCGTGCTTTCTCAATTAATCCCGTTCTTCGCTTCGAAAACGTCACTAGCCTGCTACTCTTATCTTCGATCCGCTTTATTTCGAGCTTCCTCCGCCCCATTATTTCTCTCCCGGCCGGTGAAGTTTCTAGACCTAATTAAGTTTTCAACTTCCGACGACTTCTTTCCTTATCTCATACGTGTTAACTGTTAACTGATCGCGTGTGTTTATAACGCAGGAAGCATGACCTGTAAATTGTGATGATGACTGGTACTGCTTCTGATTTAAATAAATATTTTCGTAATTCTATTTTGTCGTTTAATGTCGGTAAGGAAATAACATTAATTGTTTGATCAGTGTTGTTTTACTCGACATTATGTTCTGGTTTGTTTAGTTTTTCAATAGCGTTAATCTATTATCCGTTCACAAAAATCACAAAATAAAGTAAAAAAACAACATACTATTATCATTTTATCCTATATGTTTTAGATATTGACTAAGTTAACCATTACACAATGTGATTTAAAGAAATTATCTATAAATTTACCTTTTGCAAAATGACTAACTACTCGGGGAGAGGGCATTTTGGTCATGAGCCTGGCGGTCTGGCCCCTTCCGAAACAGGTTCCAGACTGAATGACCCCCTAGTTAATGTTGATGCGGAATGTACACTGAAATAATTGACATTTTGGAGATATTTAACGAAGTAAAATGACATACGATCCTGAGGATATCGAGGTTTTCCAGGTTAGTTCTTTCTTCCTTTACTTTTGTATTTGTTTTTATTGAATATTAACCAAAATAACATAGTCTGGATTGCAAATAACATATTTGAAATTCCAGGAACGTGTCCAAAATGGAATGTTAATTCAGATTTAGAGCCATAGAAAGCTACTTATTTATCATAAATTAACTAGTTTATTGTAACATCCCAACCGTCAGGTATCATTAATTTTCCATTTAGATTTCATGTTTAAGGTCTACTCGACGAGTTGACGCTACGACTCGTCGAGTAGCAGCGGGCCAGGACACGTCAATTAATGAATGACTCGTCGAGTCGGCATGGGGGACTCGACGAGTAGGAGCTGGCAGTGGAAACCCTAAGTTTCAGGGTTTTTGCACCCTATATATTGGACCATTAACGCCTCCCACTGTCCTCTATCACCCCTTGAGAGCCAGAAACCCTAATTCCCGTGAGTGAGAGCTTGGAGAGTGTTTTGGAGCTTTGAGAGGTGACTTTTGTGAAGGAAACTTGTAGATCAAGAGGCTAGCATCAAGGATTTTATGTGGATCCAGATTCTACTTCAGTTTGTGGACATCTTGAAGGTAATAAGTTGTTACCTTAATCTCTTTTCTTCTAGAATCATTCATATGAGAAAACTAGGGCTTTCTTTAGTTATTCATGAAGGAATTTTGGGTATGGAAGCTAGATCTGAAGTTGAAACTTCAGATCTGAACCTCTTTTGAGTTCTAAATCCATAAAGCTTCCAGCTCTTGCAAGGATGAGACTCTCCTAAGGTGTGAAGCTCCATTAGAAGCTTAGATTGGTCATTTAGAGCCTTTAGGGCCTTGCATGCGTGTAAAGTTTGCAACTTTACGTGATAAACATGCCTTAGAAGCTTGGATCTGTAATCTGGAACCTTGGCATGGCTTAAAAAGTGTCTGCATGGATGAAGGTCTGCAAGGACTCGACAAGTTGCATAGTCAACTCGGCGAGTCATTTGAAGATGGTCATGAACTCGTCGAGTTGATGAACAAACTCGGCGAGTCCGTTGAAGATTGCCTTGAACTCGACGAGTCGTTCGAAGACTTGGCGAGTCGGCTAGGGTTTCTCCCAATTCTTGGACACGTATGAACTCGGCGAGTTAGAAAGGAACTCGACGAGCCAATCAAGGATTTCACGACTTCTCGAGTTCAGGAAGGACTCGACGAGTCGGTGAACTACACTCGACGAGTCGAGTCAACATGGACTGTTGACTTTGACTGTGGACTTTGACTGTGGACTTTGACCAAGAGTTGACCAGTTGACTTCTGAGGGTATTTTGATAATTTGGAAACTTATGAAAATGGTTTTATGGTAGCTATAGGTGGGGGAGTTCGCGTGGGTGATCCGAGAGTCGAGCTTTCTAGTTTCAGACGACAGTTGCGAGGTGAGTTATCCTCACTATACTAATGGGTCTAAGGCACCAAGGCCGACCCATTTGATATGTTATCTTGAGCTGTGATAGATGCTGAGTATGACTTAGTATTACATGCTAGTAGATATGCCTGTTAGGTAGGTCTGTAGGACTACCGGTGATGTTATATGATTATGGCATGCTCGATTCTTATGATTTATGTGTTTGTTATATGGGATGGGTTGAGGTTGTACTGCTTCGTGCGGTAGCCAACAAACCCTAGGAGCATTCCAGTTACGGGCTAAGGGAGACTCATACTGTGGGCTCGGGAGCATTCCAGTTACGGGCTGAGGGAGACTCGTACTGTGGGCTCGTAGGTATTACAGTATGTAGGGTTGTGGACCCGTTATGTGCTGTTTTGTTCAGTTTATTATGATATGATTGTGTGGACTGTATGTGTATCGGTATTTTGGGGGTAACTCACTAAGCTTTCGGGCTTACAGTTTCAGTTTATTGTTTCAGGTACATCAGGGGATCGCGGTAAGGCGAAGGCATGATCGTACAACTCCTCACTTTATGTTTATGTTTCTGGGATATACTCTGATAAATAATATTTTGAAAACAAAGTTGTAATGTTTGACAAATTTGAAGTGAATTTAAAAGTTTAAATTTGCTTGAAATTTTTCGGGTGTTACAAGTTGGTATCAGAGCCTTGGTTTGAGTGAATTGGAGGAACATGCGTGTAACTCCAGTCTCAATTCAAGGAAAGGATTTTCAAAATGATTTTTTTTTAAAAAGGTTTTCAAAATAAGTAAAGGAGGATGCAGGATGTACGATCAGCCGGAGCTAGTAAGTAGACCCCAAAATACCATACAAGTTATTTGATTATGAGATATGTTAGAACAACATGTTAGTACTAGGCTAGGGATCTTCAGGAATTGCATGATAGAATTGTCTGATTACATGATGCCTGCTAGCCTAGGGTTTCCTTTATATGAGATTGACATCATTACTGTAGTTGCTTAGTGTATGCATCACGGTTATACATAACCAAGATCTTATAGCCTGAGAATGTTTGATTTGGCCTTATGTTCTGTTCTTGTTTGATTGGGAGCTTAGGGTAGGATTGGACATTCAAAAAGTCTATAGGGTACAACATTATGTATGGCTAGCATACACTAGTGCTGCAGGGTTGGTGGAAGTTTCATGGATAGGTGGGCTGTGTGAGGCCGAGAGGCCAGTTAGGAGATATTTAGCATTCCTCTAGGAGTGAGGACTGAGCGCTCGCTATGTTGTGTATTCAGTTAGGGAATTGTGGTGATGCTTGAGACAAATATGGGTAGGTGTGGAAGGTAGTAGGGGCCCATACTACTGAAAGCACAGGACCCATACGCGTGTCAAGTGAGTCACAATCCCTAGGGTTAGTCGGGAGTTGGCTCCCAGTTACTATGTGTTTATCTGATTGTTTTAATGGTGTGTTTCAGTATGGCGATCACGAGACGTTTCACTGGTTCCGGGTCAGGATCAGGGGTAGGAGATGCGAGCCAGGAAGGGCCACCAGCACCAGAGCCTGTGGTGCAGATGGGTACAGATGAGTTGCACGCCAGGATCCGAGAGATTCTACATAATGAGGTTGATGCTCTGTTCCGGGCTCAGCTACCGGGAGATGTTTGGGTCTGTTAAGACCGCCATGGTCGAGTACTTCGACGAGCGATACGCAGCCCTAGCAGAGACGACTGCCGTTGCAGCCACTACGGCTGTAACAGCGGCAGGAGGAGGAGGAGGAGCCAGCCGGGCTTTCCAGTACAGGGACTTCGACAACATGAAGCCCCCTACTTTTGATGGGACTCAGGACCCCATCAAGTCTATGAGGTGGATTTCTGACGTGGAGGGGTGCTTCTTCACTTGCTCATGTCCTACTGACCAGAGGGTCAGGTGTGCCCTGAACCTGATGAGGCTTGGGGCCAAGGACTGGTGGAGATTGACTACAGGATCTTACTCTCATGAGCAGAGAGCTGCAGTTACGTGGGAGCAGTTCCAGGACATGTTCCGTGCTCGATACATTCCGCGGGTCGAGCGGGAACGATTGGCACATGATTTTCTGAGTTTGAGACAGGATGGGGAGTCGGTGACGGAGATCACCCGTATGTTCACTGAGCGGGAGATGTTCTGCCCAGAGTTTGCTTCCGAGTAGTCTCAGATGACCCGTTATCTGAGTATGCTCAAAACTGATATCCGACAGTTTGTATCTACCCAACGATGTGATACTCTTCTGGAGTTGCAGGAGGCCGCCAGACGGCGGGGAGTTAGAGATTGAGCTGCAGCTGAGGGAGCAGCGGCAGACCCCGACACAGTCGCAGCCGGCGCCGAAGCGGTCTAAGACCGCTGATTTGAGGTCTGGGAGTCAGCAGAGCCGCTCTTGTGGGAAGTGTGGCAGGGTTCATTCCGGGATTTGTCGAGCCAGTAGTGGGTGCCACAGGTGTGGCAATGGGGGGCACTATGCGAAGGATTGTCGCCAGGCCGCTCCGATTCCGAGTATGAAGTTATGTTACCATTGTGATCAGGTTGGCCATTTGAAGGCCAACTACCCGTTACTCGCCGCCAATCCGGCGCAGGCTCCAGCACCGACTACATTGAGGATTACAGATGGGAGACAGGGTAGGGCGGAGCCCCCGAGGGCTCAGGGGCGTGCTTTTCAGCTGACGGTTGAGGAGGCCAAGACAGTACCGGATGTAGTTGCTAGTATGTTTCTATCCTTTATCTCGTTTACTATATCTGCTGTATGATTATCTGTTGTACCTGTGATTAGGTACGTTTTTAGTTAACTATTTGCCTGCTTTGGTCTTATTTGACTCGGGGGCGAGTCGGTCCTTCGTATCCCAGACATTTAGTAGAGAGTTCAGTGTGTCAGTAGGCGAGTTAAAGTGTCCGTTGCGAGTGTCTATCGCCAATGAACACGGGGTTTCTGCTTCTTCAGTTTATCGACGGTGTGATTTGGAGATTTTCGGGGTGTCCTTTCCGATAGATTTGATTCCGATCCCCATGGGGGAGGTGTGCGTGATTGTAGGCATGGATTGGCTCAGTCGGTTCGGTGCTATGATTGATTGCAAGGGCCAGCGAGTGG